TCTTTTTTGTTACTAACACTCGCGTCTTACAGTATACCCGTACAAAAGTTACCTACCTAAATAAATAAAAAATTGAAAATATCCAAGTAGAAATAAATATATGCACATAATTTAGTACTTATATGTTTTTAGTGACAGTTTCAATAAAGGAAAAATATGTATTATACAATCCGTACCTGCTTAGCGATTTTATGAGTTGTTTTCTATTATTTTAATAATTTGATACATAATGTAGCGGCGTTTCATAATCGGCACATTAAAATTATCATGAAATCAAAGTTTTTCATTTTCGATTAACTATACCTCAATGAGGTAGGAATACACTTTATAGTTTTTTACGGTTAATTTCTTTTTTATAGCATAGGGTAATAAACGAGCACGCAGTCCACCTGATGGTAAGTGGTTGCTGTGGCCCATAGACATTTACATCTATCCTCGATTACGAATCAAAATGCAGATGCGCTCTCACCCGTGAGGACTTAGATGGAATGCCTCGTTTCCAGTAAAGAGGGTCTCCGGTTCTCTACACTTGCCATACGAAATACAGCAGCATTAAGCTATTATTTGACGCCGGTATTCCGTGAGAGCGTGGTTCTTCCCCGGTTGAGCCGACCCATTCGTGCTACAACTACTCTCTCGTAATATAACTGCAGCATGGCTCTACCACGTTAGAAAATTTGCTTTGGACAGCTAAACATTTGTTTTATTATTCCATAAGATTTTTATTATTTTAAGACTAATATTACCTATAATTTATTAATTATTTTTAATTGTTTTCTATATTAAGTACTGATTGAGATAAAGACCAAGATTTTAACATTTTAAGACTAGACCTAGAGTAAATAATTATTTACAATTGTTGATTAGTGAACAATTATGTACCTTTTTTATTTTAATAATATATAATTACAAATAATAAATGTGTTTTCTTTACTTAAGGTATGAAGAGCAATTTTTCATTTTGTGATGTGCGATTTTCTTTCCCAATCCAAAATCATTTAGCAACATCAGCATCATATGAAACCCCCATTGTCATAAGAGCGTAAGACTTTTCTTCTGTGATTCACTTGGCCTACGCCTCGCCATAAAATATTTAGAATCGATGTCTGTATATTTTGGTTAGATCGATTTTGAAATCGATACACAACGTGCGACACGGCTACATCTCTAAGAAAATTTCAAAAAGAAAGGTCAGCTACCCCGTTGTCGTCCAGTCGTGACAGTGACGTCATCACGATGGAGAGTAGTGTTGTGGTTTACTACTATTTTATTGTTATTGTTTCTTTTTTATTTATGTACAAAGTACATATATAAAAAGAGTGGAAGACAGCACAAGATTAAATAAAACATACCCGATTATAAAGAGTCATTTATTGTATAAAAAACCAACAAAAACAAGTTATTTTGTGTTATCGATGTATCAACTCTTGGCAGCACTGTTTTTTTCGTAGGTATTTTTGTTTACTTTTCGCTTTGGCGTACAGGACACGGTAGTGAGCACAGAGTACCTTTGTATAAGTTTTTGGCGTGGCGCTCAAAAGGTTAATAACATAACGTGACATAACGTTATTAGTTACGTTTTGATATATCGGTCTCATGCCTAATATATATTATAATATTTTTGCCAATTTCTAGTAATGTAATAAAATAAAAGAACCAATTAATGTTTTCATACAAACCGTCAAATCATACAAATAGAACGAATGAATTTGATTTATACTGTGGAAAACGTGGAAATAAAACTAAATTTATAAATTTTGTTACTCATGGCGTAAAGAATTTTCTTGTAGTTTGTAATCATCATGGCTAATGAAGAACATAAACTTTTGGCTCAATATATAAAAGAAGTTCACGCCTCTCTTAGGAAGGCTTCTTACAAAATAGGCGTTCAGAAGGCATGGCAGGAACACTGTAAAAATGAGAAAGTTTTAAGTGCTTATGCAAAGTGTATGGAACAGTTAGCAACAATACATTGGGAAAGTAATTGTTCTGTCAATGCTAACGATGTAGTATCTCGGATTGATTGGTCTGCAGACTTTTGTTACAGTTACTATGTGAACAATTACTATTTAAAATTTCATGAAAAAGAGATAGATATTTCAAACAAAATAAACATTATATTGAAGACTATGGAATCATTTTCATTACCTTTAAAATTACTTGATGTAGGAAGTTGTTATAATCCATTTAATAAATATGGTTTCTTTGATGTATTGGCTATTGATTTATGTCCAGCAAACAGTTCTGTTTTAAAATGTGATTTTTTAAATGTTTTGATTGGAAAAAAATTGATTATAGAAGCTCATGAAGTACATCAATTTCAGCAGAATTACTTTGATGTAGTAACATTTTGTTTTCTTCTTGAATATATGCCTAATTCAGAATTAAGAATAGAAGCTTGTAAGAGAGCTTACTATGTCCTAAAGCCAGGTGGTTTACTTATAATTAATACTCCAGATTCAAAACATGTTGGAGCTAATTCAAAATTAATGAAATGTTGGCGATACACATTAGCTTGTTTAGGATTTTCAAGGATTAAATATGAAAAGTTTAAACATATGCACTGTTTGGCTTTTAGAAAGTCTTTAGATAAGGAGATACCAAGAAGATGGGTTAAACTGTGTAAAGAACCATATATGGAATTCAGTCTTAAAATACCTCAGGATTTTCTTTGTGATGGTGAAGATAAAAATATGAGTGACTATTCTTCATGTACTAATTGTGTAGCTGACATGGAACTTTTTGAGGAACTTCCATTTAATTTAAATTGTGATGCATGATAGTAAGTTTAACAAATAAACTATAAAATTAAAAATGATTATAATATAAGTTTTGTATATAGTGAAATTTCTTGTTTTTGTTGGGTTTTGTATATTTATATTATTTTATAGTATACTAGCTCACCAGGCAGACGTTTTTCTGCCCTTATCGACGACCCTATGTCATGTCCTATTAAAAATCCTTAAATTCGCAAAAAAAAAATTGTGGGCACTCATGGGCAAAAAAAATCCTATCTTTCAAGTTGGACCAAACTATACATGGTGTGCAAATTTGATTAAAATTGGTTGAGTAGTTTAGGAGTCCATCACGGACAAACAAAGTGACACATAATTTATATATATTAAGATATTGTAATTTAAATTGCAATCCTTAGATACATCTTTAAATATATCTATCCTTTCTGATAGGTGGTGTGAATTGTTATTGTTGTTTTTGCTAAAATAAATACATGGTAGAGCCATGCTATAGCTATATTGGTTATTGCATGATGAGGTATGCTTTGCTGTGTAGTACTATAGAGTCACAGACACACAGAATATCAGCTTAAGGCTGCTGTGTTTTGTATGGTGAGTGTAGAGAATCAGAGACCCTTTTTACGGAAAACAAGGTAGTCCATCTTTGTCCTCAGGGGTGACAATGCATCTGCATTTTGATTCTTAACTCAGGATAAATAAAGATGTCTATCGGCCACAGCATGCGCTTGCCATCAGGTGAATTGTGTGCCATCCTTATGCATTTCCAACCTTTGTTCCACGTTAGTATCCCCCATCCTATAAAACAAAAAACCCTCTTGGGTTTTTTATTATAAAATCCCACCCATTGGGTTCAGATTTGGTAATTTCCTTCTTTGGCACTAAGCCAACACACAACAACAAATATGAATCATCTTGGTCTATACCATTACCACTACAGCTTATGAATAATCCTCTGTTAGACACGGGCCTACCTCATAGATGGGGTTGTGTGGCATGGTTGCCACCTTGGTAGGCAGGCATGTAAGTGCAGATTTTTATTATTTTTTTTATGTTCAGGAAAAAGTGTAAAAATTAGAATAGAGAAAAATATGAATATATAAAGGTAAATGTGAAAGTTTCTCCATTTTTCATTCAATTATGCTCAAACATCTGTGGGCATTTTAAAAAAATTTGGGGTCGAAGATTATCTATAGGCCGAGTGAAGCAGGCAAGTTACAATTAAAACTATTTGTGCAGGTAAAGAATAGGATTCTAAAAATGGTTTTGCCTCTGTTCATCATTCTCATTTGCACTGAGAAGTTAAAGTTGCAGTCTGCATACTTCCCACTTCTTGGCATTTACCTACACTCATTTCTGAGAGGGTTTTAGGACAAGGAAGTGTTTTCTGCGCTGCTTCAATGCTTGTCGAACTTTACATGTCTTTATTTTACTTTTTGATTTCTCAGGCATACTTTTTCTTTACTTTTTTATTACAAATATTATGGCACTCTAGAATTTCTCCTGTATCGTGGTGGCAGTTTTCATACATAAATTGAAGAAGGATATACCTCCAGGCCTGGAACAATTATTTTAAGGTCACAGACTTTATTTGTGTGGCTCTCAATGCAAAGCCATTGTGCTCCGAGCCATCTGCATACAGGTTTCTTTTCTCCTTTACCACCAAGCATTAAGTATTCACCCTTATTCCATAATAAAAATTAAATTAAATTTTATTGATATTGACAGAGATTGAACTCAGTTATTTTAATTATTAGTCTCAATCATTTTAAAATATTAAGAATTTAATGTTAGTTGTACAATTGACTTCTCTTTTATAATATGAAAGCAATAATTTTATGATTCATCACCATCATTATAGCCCTTTATAAGTCCACTTAACATAGACCCCTCCATCAAGGAAAGCACGGTCACACTACAAAGCACGGTCCTGAGCCACTTTGTTCTTCATTTTAGTTCACAGTATTTCATCCCCTACAAAATCACCGGAGGCAACATAATTATATAAAATGAATATAAGGCTAGCCTTACCTTTTATAAGAAAGGTTTACACTTTAATAATTTACTCAAAGTAATTTTTATGTCTACTTCACATAATAATCTTAAATAAAAACTCGAATAATATGTGGGTATTACTTTTTTATTACACTTAAAATTATATGCTTATTTAGCATAATATTGAATCTTAACTTTCAAATATTATCATTACAATTAAAGGTACACAGTAACTAGTAATAACTTCCTAATTTATTTTGTTACTCCAAATTTGGCTTTACGTTTTTCTAATTTCTCTTTATTTTCAATATCTGTCATAATTGAGGATACTGACTGCCCAAATCTTTGAGCTCTCTGTTTTAATTTTTCTAAATTTTCCTGTAATGAGCCAGAACTTGAAATAGTATTATTGGAAATTGTTGTGTTTGACGCAGTTTGACCAAAGCGCTGTTTCCTGGCTTCCTTTCGTTCATCTTCTGACATTTTAACTGGTAGACCAAATCGTTTTGCTCTCATTTCTAACCGTGTTTTAGGATCTATATCAGCAGTTATTTTAACTTTGTTATTAATAGGAAGCTTCACCTCCGGTTTGATTTCAACACTATCCTCTGTAGGTTTGGGAACAGTTGTCAATGAAGCAGCCCTATTTAACACAATTTTTTTAGAGCCTGTTTCCTTACTGTCTTGAGAAGATTTATCTTTTATCAGTTCTGTCGGAGTAATTTTCCTCTTAAGAGTTCTTAGTGGTTTTGATTCACTTGTTTTGGAATGTTCTTCCAGAGCCAATTCTTCGTTTAAAGTGTCAACTGCTGTATCGTCCAAGATATCTGTTTGACTTTTATCATCTTCGTCTTCAAGGACTCCATCAGAGTCAATTTCATCAGAATCTAAGTTAATGTCGCCGTGATCGTCTTGGGTGATGGCTGCTTGAAGCCTTGCCACAAGTTCAGCTTTATCACCGGTGTACGAGAGTCCACGAGATTTTAGCTCTTTCCTTAAATCAACAACCTTTAATTTGCTTACGTCAGTCACTGTCGAGTCGGCCATTATAAATTATACTCAAAATAATTCTAAATGTACAAATGTTTGTATGCACCTGTGATTAATAAAATGAATAAAACTGTTTTGTACCTACGGTATCAAACTCTCAAATCATAGATAAATAAATATGTAGGAGGTATGTATGTCAAGCAAGCTATACCTCAAATATATATAATTTAGTTATTACTCTATGCCTACCTACCACAGACTACATTTACCATGACGGCCTGACGGGTGTAGACAAAGAAACCTATAGACTAATGATTAACGTGGCCTCGAGCACAAATTATAAAGTTGTATGGCCTCGAGTGAGAAAGACGATAACGTAGTTTTAGGTTATACAATAATCTTTATGACTTTTAAACATATTTAGATAAAAAATTTAATTGTTCTAAGAACTGAACTGAACAAGATTCACCAATTTTAAGCTTAGAAAATACTTTCTTTCTCACTTAAACCAACTTGTAAACTCCTTAGATCGCTACAAACTGTCAAAGTTGTTTAGCAAACTACACTTTGAAAAAAAAAACAGGCACGAAGAAAGGGACAAACAATCACGTCGCTCTGTCTCATTTCTCAACGTAAGCATAAATCTATATTTTTCGTGTACGTATGCGAAAGAAGGCGTCAATTTGTCTATAGGTTTCTCTGTTTACGCTGACGGGCTATAGCCCGTTCACCGTAAGATGTCCCCTGCTGTGATGTTGGCACTATTGCTTGTCAATCTGTTGTCAGTTTGTGATTATAACGCTCGTTTTTGTCTTAAAATTTAAAATATTCCGAATTAATTATGCCGAAACCATTTGGAAGCAGTGCAAGAGAGGTTGTGTTGAAGGTGCGTGCCTTTTGTGAGAGAGAAAAGGCAAACCAAGCCCCGTTAATTCCACTCAATCAAGTGCGAACTCGCGTCGCCGCCATGACAGGTTAGTAAAATAGGGTTGCCAGCTTCATGCAAAATGCCTTTAGTATGGGTAATAACAAGAAATTACTAACATTACGAATTAAAATAAAAAAAGTACGTATCTCAGTTAATTTAATTTATTTTTTTATGATAATGTCTGTATTTGTATTTTATAAATATTTAATTTTATAAAATGATACAAATTTGGTGTCTATTTCAGGCATGTCGGAGAAAACCGTGAGTAGAATATCTAAAGAAGGTGAAGCTGCTGCCTCTATATCTCAAAAACTCAAGTCTCCTGGAAAACACCGTCAAAGACGTAAAACGGTGGATCTTGATGATTTCGATTTATGCGCAATAAGAAACAAAATCCATGAAATGTATACTGTAAGAAAAGTTGTTCCTACTTTAAATAAATTACTTGTAGAATTAAAGAATGACAAACTTTGGTTAAGGTCGAACGACTTTGTGGAAAATTTTAAAACAAATTGGATTTCAGTATAAAAAGTGTGGTTCGAAACGGAAAATTTTAATGGAAAGGCACGACAGAGTTGCATGTAGACGCAAGTATATCGTTACTATGAGGCAAAATCGAGCAGTTGGTCGGCCAATAGTTTTCTTAGATGAAACATACATTCACGCATCGTATGCAGTGAAAAAAATGTTGGCAAAAAGATGACGAGGACGGAGTACTAATAAGTGATTCTGTTGGAACGCGGTGGATAATTGTTAATGTAGGTGGAGAAATAGGGTTTATTCCTAATGCTCAATTGATTTTTAAATCACAGAGTAAATCAGGGGACTACCATGACGACATGAACAGAACCAATTTTATAAAATGGCTGTCATAGAAACTTATACCCAATTTGCCTCCAAACTCCTTAGTCGTGATGGATAATGCTCCCTATCATACCGTACAAGTAAATAAAGCACCTACTATGAGTTCCTCAAAACTTCAAATGCAAAATTGGATAACAAATAAGGGATTGTCTTATATACCAACAGTGCTGGAAGCAGAACTTTATGAAATTATAAAAGAGAACAAAGAAGCGCCGATTTATGAGGCTGACCAATTATTGCTTTCTCATTGCCATAAAGTGGTTAGGTTGCCCCCTTACCACTGCGATTTAAATGCGATTGAGTTTATGTAGAGTCTTTTAAAGAGACGAGTAGCCAGCAATAATGTCGGCCAAGAAGCTGGAAATATCGTGAAGTTAACTGAAGAAGCTTTTTCATCTATAACCCCTCAGGATTGGCAAAAGCAGTGTGAACACGTAAAAAATTTAGAAGACAAGTTTTATGTACTTGATGGCTGTATGGATGATATTACTGATAAATTCATAATTGAATTAGGAAATGACAGCAGCACAGATTCGGATACGACAGATGATGATGACGACGTTTATGAAAGTGACAGTGATACGAGTATGTCTGGAATTGTTCCTTTCGACCATAATTATTGTCGGAAAAAATAAATCAATAAATAATTTAAAAATTAAATTGTGTTATCATTCACAACCTTACTAGTCTTATAAGTAACTGTATATTATTTAAATAAGCAAGTAAAACATATTAATCAGGGGTTTTCAAGTTTAGATAATTTTGCCAGCAACCACCAAGTGGGATAAATGCTCCCTATATTGTTGGCAGCACCGTAGACAATGCTGCCATTTCTCAAGGCAGGGGACATCTTACGGTGAACGGGCTATACCTACGGCTTCTGGCACAGACTATATAGACCAAAGAATATAGTAACTGTCATAGACTTAGAATATAAAATGTAAATAGGTAACACCTTTGAGTATTAAACCAAAGGTGGCGGCATCGCAGGACATAGCCCTCTGTCAAAGGTACGAGAGTCCGACACATACCCGTTATATAAAACTCCGCATCGTGTGCCATTCCGCAAGTGATCGTGCTACTCAATCGAGCTCCGACAATAATGCCAAATCATCATTATCATTACTGCCCTTCACAAGTCCACTGCTGAACATAGGCCTCTCCCAAGGTATGCCACAAAGCACGGTCCTGAGCCACCTGCATCTATCGACTTCCTGCATGTCTTACCAGATCGTCACTTCGTCTAGTGGGGGGTCGCCCTGCACTTCACCTACCGGTACGAGGCTGCTACTCGAGAACCTTTTTTACCCAACGGTTATCGGTTCTTCGAGCTATATGGCCGGCTTATTTCCAATTCAGCTTACTAATCCATTGGGCTATGTCGGTCACTCTGGTTCTACAGCGGATATCCTCACTTCTAAGCTTGTCACGCAGAGAAACTCCGAGCATAGCCCTCTCCATAGCTCACTGAGCGACTTTGAGCGTCCTCATACAGCCAGCAGTGAAGGACCACGTCCCAGTTCCATAGGTCATCACTGGCAACACGCATACGACACCTGTCTTATCTTGTTCGGGCGTTTATTTTCTTTGATTTAAAGTACTTTTTTTCATTTGAAATGAATTTTTTATCTTCACAGATGACATATTGTACTTTAGCTCCCAAACAGTCACTATGGAAATTTAAGCGTCATCAATATGAATGAAGGACTTTTTAAAGAAAAACAACATTAAGTTAGAATTTTTTATTACTTAAATACCCACAAGCACTGTTATTTCTATGAGAAGGGTGTATTTATTTCCTATTTTTTGTTATTACATTTTTAGCACAAACTTTAATTTTAATTACTTTAAATCGCAGTATTTAGTTTTAATCCTGATCATAGCCGAAAATCCGATCACACATAAATATAAAAAGCTAAAGGGGAGGAGGACTTTTATAGCTTCATCAAACAGGCAAGGATAGTTCCCAGCAACTGAGATCCAGAATTTCTGATATATCAATGAGTTCTTCACTTGCTTTTGTTGACATACTACTTGGTAGGCGGTCTTGAAATTGGTTAGAAATCTAATTCAATGAGTTAAGGTTTTTATCTCTTCCCTGAAATAGGCATCAAAGTTATTTTTTTTACAATGATAAATTAGTGGAAATTGCAATTAGTACGTGCGGCTTTGGCTGCACTTGGTTTTCTATAATTAATGTTCCAAAACACCTGTTATCCTCAATACAACTCTTCCACGACATAAGCTTTTTGATGAACGTTCAAATTCTGCCCTGAACTGCAAAAATATTTGATTCGTTTGAACCTTGTAAATACAAATTGAGTTCGTTTAATTTAGAAAATATATCTGCCAAGTATGTGAGCTTGAGAATGAATTCTTCGTCCAGAATATATTCAGTTTTCCTTCCAAGTAAATTGCAACTACATTGCGTAATCCGTCCGTGCGTCCACTAATCATGTCAGTACTTTCCCCTGGATAAACATCGCACCTCCATACGCAGAACAAAAGATGTATGAAGACTACCCATTTCTTCACAAAGTCTTTGAAATAAACGTGCTTGTAAGGGTTTTGTTTTAATATAATTTACAATCTTTACAGCTATATTTAGTACTGTTTTAAAATCATTAGGTAATGCTTTTGAAACAAGTGCTTCTCTATGAAGGCTACAGTGTGTCCATAAGGCAAAGGGGCTTTGTCTAAGAACTCTTATAACAAGACCGCTATTTTACCCGCACGTAGCCTGCGCTCTGTCAGTGCATATACCGACGCAGTTCCTCTATTGTAAGCCTTTATGTTTTATATAGGAATCAATTGCATTGAAAATTTCCTCGGCCGTACCAAGCGTTCATGCGCGTCGTTTTGCCATACATAACGCACAAAGAGAAGTAGTTGAGATAGGCCTTATACGTCAGTAGACTCATCTAGTTGTAGTGTATAATATTTACTATAAACTACCCTCTGGATTAATTCGTCTTCTGACCATTCAGCCATTTCGTCTATTCGTCGTGCAACAGTATTATTGGACAGTGGTATGTGCTCGATTTCCTTTACTTCTTTTTTCTCCAAACATCACTCCAACAGCATCTTTAATCTATGGTTACACTAAATATTCGCCAATGGTATGAGGTTTTCCTGTTCTGGCGATCCTTAAGCCAATGAGGTACGAGACATACACAGCATTTTCATTAATATTAATGAAATATGAAACAATAATTTATGAAGATTTCATATTCAACAATTTTGTTTGAAAAAATTCTAATGGCTT